CCGGGCGCATCGCCTTGGCAAGGGAGGCGACAGAAGTGGCGAAGGGAGGGACCTGGAAAGTCCAGTCCCCTCGGGGGGCAGCTGGAGCGGTGCTGCCCCCACAAACTTTCTGACAAGGTTAGGCAAAGTGTCCCCGCACTCAGCACCCACAGAGGCCGGGTTCCAGCCTGGCCCTACCCGGCCCTGCTTCCCAGCTGGGCGGCCTTGGGACCAAGTCGGGCCACCGCTCTGACGCTGGGTGCTCATCTCTCAAGTGCGACTAAAACGCACCTCCTGGGCTGCTGTGAGGAGGAAATCAGACAGTCGGGTTTCACCCACTTCCTTTCCCAGAGCCTGTGGCTGGCCGGCCCTTCCCAGGAGGGCGCCTGAGACCAGAGCGTCACTGACGGACCACGCGCTGGCCCAGACTCCCCTCTGCCACAGGCGCCTGCCGAGCCCTGGTTATTTCTATGGAAACAGACTGGCAGCTGCAGACGCTGGGTCTTCCTCTCTCTTCTGTAACAGCTGGACAACTCCTCCTGACGTCAGGCCTGTTTGCTCTGCTTCTGAGCGGGCGTTTCACTCCATGTGACTTTTGAGAGTGAAGACAGTCCCTGAGTAAAAGGATGAGGTGATGCAGACACAATAAAATGCAGGGCTGTGTGTGTGGACATGCACGTGTACCTGTGCGTGTGTGCAGGTGTGCACCTGTGTGCTGGGATGCAGGGACAACAGACCGCTGGGACATGCTGCCCTGGTCTCCTGGCCGAGCGCGCTGGGGGAGGGGTGAAGGGACACGGGTCACACCTGCGTGCCTCCAGATGAGCCGGTGCACAGGAAAGCCGGGGGTCTCTACTCCAGCTGTGCACTAGAATTGCCTGTCTCCCCAGACCAGTGACATCAGAAGCCTGGGGTGCTGCTTGAGCACCCACACATTGGTTTAGACACAGATGATTCTGCCACGCACCAGGGTTGAGACCTGCTGCTTATCTGAGCGGAAGAGAAAGGTTCACCCTGTCATAAATGAATAATTCTGTCCCCTCCACTGGGGCCCAGCTCCCAACCCCCAACCCCTCACCCTGACTGAACTGCCATTTTTCCTACATTCGGAAATTCTTGGCCAATGAAACAAGGAGGTAGGGTAGGGTTTCTCCGCTAGACCGTGAATGGTCTGGGAACAAGCATCACTTCTTGGGGGGCTACTGACAGCGGGGCGGAGGGCGTGGACGGCCTGTCTTTGTGGTCCGGGACACTCGGTGCAGGGAAGGTGTTCACGGCTGCCCACTCTCCTTGGTTCTCGTCTCCGTCCTCTTCCTCCCACATGCACAGCCTGCGCCCCAGGATAAAGCCCAGCGTGTGACCCAGGTCATGGCTTCTTTGTCCAAAGTCAGGAGTCTGTGAGGAATCCGAGTGGGAACCGAACAATTTCCCTCCCTTTCCTTCCCCACCCCCACCCTCTCTATAGCCCATCAGTCACTTAGGACTTGTGTGAGCAGAAAGAAAAGAAAGAAAAAGAACAGGAGAGAGAGAATAAGAAGCAGGGAGAGCCCTGGCCGGTGTGGCTCAGCAGTCAGAGCATCGGTCCACGGATCAATGAGTCATGGGTTCGATTCCGGTCAAGGGCACGTTCCTCGGTTGTGGTCTGTCACGTGGGAGGCAACCAGTCAATGTGTTCCTCTCACGTCGATGTTTCTCTCTCTGTCCCTCCCTCCCTCCCACTCTGTCTGAAGATAAGTGGAAAAAATATCATCAGGTGAGAATTAAAAAAAAGAACACGAACGAAGAGATGGCAAACGGGGCTCACAGACACACTGAAACGTCGTCCTCTACGGCAAAGTGGAGACGCCTCGCGTTTTATGCTTGGAACCAAAACAGAACCGCTTCCTGCTCTCAGTCCTCACCCCTGCCTTGTCCTCTGAGCAAAGGTGACGCTGATGCTATACTTCTGTGTTGTTGCTGCTTTAACCAGTGATCAATCTGGACCTCTCGGGCCAAATCCCCAATTTGGGAAGGCAGTCAAAAGAACAGAACTCCTTCCCGAAGAGGGAAACGGATGCATGCCAAGCGCACTGGCTACGGAACTAAGGGTCAGAGGTACTCATTTGCACGGACTGCTCTCCTTCCCGGGATGTGTTTTTAATGCTGTGATGACAGACAGCCTTCCAGGGGCCTCTGGCAGCATCTCTGAATCTTCAGGGATGAGGGAGAAGGAGCTTGGGGGCCTTTTCCCAGCAAGCTCGGAGGCGATTAGCAAAGTCACGAGCGCATCGGGGAGGAGGAGGCCCTGACGCAGCCTCTGGCTCATTAAAAGTGAGATTTGATGCTGGAATCCCCAGGGCCAAAAAAAATCAATGACCCAGGAAAACGGCACCAGCTGACAGCCCCGGGAAAAGGCCCCGGGAAGGGGCGCAAAGACGAGAGAGGCTTAAGTAACGTCCCAAACTGCACTGCGCATCTCCCTCTACTGTCCAGACAGCCGCCGGGCCCGGGGGTTCTGGCACTTTCCTTCACATGGATGCACCATCCTTCCTCCATCCCCTTCTTCACAGGCTCCCTCTGGCCCCCTCATTGCAGGTTGGGGTATTCCCTCGGGGCGGCGGGGTTGTCAGACGCCGCTCTCCAGCGCTGGGCTGTAGTTGTAAGACTCCTGGGGGAGGGACCGCTGTTTTCTTGTAGGTCTCTGCTTGCTACTCACCTCTGCAGGTTCCTGCAGAGGAAAGGACCACCTGTCCCAGGAAGGGAGGCAGCAGGCTCCATGGACACTGGAGAGGGATGGGGTGGGGGTGGGGGTGCATGACTGGACCCACTGCCTGGACTACAATATTCCGCGTCATTTCGGAGCTCAGGGCTGTCCCTCAGCACAGTGCATCCCGTGGTCAGGAGGTCCCTGTAGGTTCGTTCAGTTTCTTTCTTTTTTTTTTTTTATCCTCACCCGAGGACATTTTTCCATTTTTTGCACAGATAGAGTGGGAGGGAGAGAGAGAGAGAGAAACATCGACGCGAAAGAGACACATCGAGTGGCTGCCACCCGCACGACCAACCAGGGCCAGGGACAAACTGCAACCAACGTACGTGCCCCTAGCGGGAACCGAACCCGGGTCTCTCCGGACCGCAGGCCGATGCTCTAACCGCTGAGCCAAACCGGCCAGGGCTTTTTCTTTTTTTCTTTTGGTTTTTTTTTTTTTTGGTTCGTTCAGTTTCAAGTCAAATCAGCCACCTTCGGAAAACTTCACTTCCTCCCTAAGCCTGTCCCAGTGTTTCGTGATGCCACACCCCACAGAACTTAGACTTCAACTTGAGTGTGTCGGTGGTGTGCGAGGATGTGAGTTTCCTCTTCTTCTCCACGAAAGGCCCCCGAGACTTTCTCCCTAGTCTTGGGGACTCTGGAGAGCAAGGCTGGAGGAGGAACCCAGCAGGATGGCCGGCGGCCGCTGGCTCGGGAGTCTTCCAGCCCGGACTCAGGCTCCCACGGAAAGCAGAAGGAAATTCCCCCTCGAGTCTGTCCCTTAGAATCACACGTCTCAAAGCCGCGTGCTCCTCTCCGGATACAGCCTCCTGGGTGACAGCTCAAGTTCACCCTCTGTAACGGTTCCCAGCCTGGCTGGCAGCCCCCCGACGGCCACCAGTGTCTACAGTCTGCTCGAACGGTCTCATGGTGACACCGCAGTGCACCTAAAGCAGTCGCCCTGAGATCAGCGAAAGGGCTCGTCGGCTCTCGACTTCCTCCTTCCAACACTCAGAGCCCAGAGGTGGCGGACTTCAGAGCAGCTCCCCGCACTTCAGTCAGCAGACACGGTGCTTCTCTAGCAGCCGAGAAAGTTCTATTACCCCCCAAAAAGTCAATAGCACTGGGAAGCCTTCCCTGGCAGTTACCGCAGCGCCCTGACCCTGTGGCGCTCAACCTGAAGGACCGCGGTCTGCTTGCCAAATGGCATATCTTGGCTTCCTTTGCCAGGTAGAAACACAGCCTTGATATTAAATATTCAAAGCGAAGAACCTCTGACCTAAGGGCTCCCGGCTAACAATGCCAGGCTCTGTGAGTAAACCAGAAACCCAGCTCCGCTTCTGGTTCCCGTGCTCTTCTGTCCTCAGCAGAGGGACCAGGCACTGCCTCCCCTCACCTGGTTTCGCTGCAAAAGACTCAGCGGGCAGGGCCCTCCAGGGACATGCAAAACCTGGGCTTGCAGAAGATGCTGGAAGGGAGAGAAGGGGCGCAGAGCTGCTCCCTGAGCTGGAAAAGGGGGAAGCCTCCCAGAGGGAGACCACCTCCGTTACCACTGTGGGGAGGCTGTTACTTCAGGCAAGGACAGCGGTGTCAGAGGTAGGCTCCAGTACCCTCAGCCACCCACAAACAGCTCTCACAACAGGGTGCTTCACCTACAACCCCACAACCACCTGCAGAAGCCAGTCCCAGTCCCCAGTCGAAAAGCCTGGTGTTCGCTGGCTGGGGCAGTCTTATTTTTTTAAGTAGACTGGGAAAGGAGAGGGGGGCGCAGGTGTCTTTTGGAGGTAGTCACGCTCTGTTCCCTAAGCTTCTGCTCACCTCTCCACCTGACCAGACTTCAGGTCAGGTGCCCCTGGGCTAGTCTCCTCACATGGCTCCCACAGACTGGCTGGGGCACACCCAGAGGATGCGGATGGCAAACCAAGTGCACCCCTCAGACCACAGCACGTGTATTTCACAGGCAGCTGTGGGCTGGATCAAGGAGCCTCCAGCCGACACGCATCCATCAGAGTAGAGTCGCTAATGCGAGGAAATTGAAATCAACAAGAACGGCGACAAACTCCAAATATGTTACCCACCCTTCCATCTCAGGGGACGGGGTGCGGGGGCGCCCCTGCCACCACCCCACACGCAGTCACCTGTATGTTAAGGCTCACAACAGGCAAGAAAACCGGCTATGAGCACACCCCAACTTCAGTCCAACCCTGCCGAGTCGCCTCGGGCGACGGCCCCAGCGGAGGGCTCCCCTGGGCACGCAACACGCCGGGGGCGCACGGCGGGGGCGCACGCTGCTTACCGGAGAAGTCCGTGAGCGCGGCGATCTCCCGGGAGCAGACCAGGACAGTGCAGTAGAAGAGGCGCAGGAGCTGCCCCGGCGGCTCTACCTGCCTGCGGAGGCCGGGATGCTGCGCGGGCTGGGGCGTGGGCGGCGGGCGCGCGGGTCCCGGCAGCAGCATGGTGCGCGGCGCGGCGGAGCGCGGGGGGTTGTTGGGCGGAGGACGGCGTCACATGGCGGGCGAGTTGGTGGCCAGCGGCTCAGCGGCCCCCTGCCACCTCCCCGGCTCGGGCCAGCACCGGCTCCCCAGCAAAGGGGAGGGGGCGGAGAACCGGGGCGGGGCGAGGAGCCCCGGGAAGGATCCGCGTAGTTTCCCCGAGAGGAAATCTCCGCCGCCGCTGCCGCGCTGGAGGAAACGAGGGGGGCCGAAGGGAAAGTGTCGACTTCGCGCGCCCCGCGGCTGCGGAGGCTGGCCCCTGGCACGCTGCCCGCCGCGGAGGGCGCCCCCAACAGCGCTCCGAGGGCCGCGCAACTTGAGCGTCTTCCACGCCCGGGCCCCCGCCCCTGAGCCGGCCCGGCACCCCTGGCCCGGCCCGCGCTGGCCTGGTGCCAGCCTCGCCCTGGCCGCGGGAGCAGAGCGGCCGGTGCCCGTGACGCACTTTGGAGCCAGCGCTGCGCGGTGAGCCTGGGCGCCCCGGGGCGGGGCCGCGGCCCGGGCGGGGGCCGCCGGAAGGTGGGGTCCTAGAGGTGCGACACTGACGTCCCTGCGAGCCGCCGCGCTCCGCCGGCCGAGCCACCAAGCTCGCAGTTACCCCCATTGCCCAGAGGGGACTGAGACCCGAGCATTGCCCAAGTTTACACAGCCGGGACAGGAATGAGCCGGGGGTGGGGATGGGTCTCAAAACCTGTCAGATGGCTCCAGAGCCGGTTTCTCTGGGCTCCGGCTGACCACACGCTTCCTTTGGGCACTGGCTGTGCGCAGCGCTTAGAGGATCTGACACCGGACCGACATGAACAGCCACTGAGCGCTCATCATTGGGCCTTCTTTTAAAATGGGCCACAGCATCTTTCTGAACCTCTTGATTACGCGCGGTGTGTCCCACGAGTGGACGCCCACTCCGTGGGCGAGCAGCGCACTGAGTGGCTGGCACCGGGGGACGGGGGCAAGGACAAGTGTTTGGAGGCTCCGGGGCAGTGCCGACTGCGGGTACCTGGGCCCCAGTGACCCAAAGCCGGCGGACCGCGCGAGGCGTCAGAGCTGGGCGGCGCCGGCGAGGGAGGAGGGCCTGGCGGGCCTCGGCACAAAGTGTTCCCGAACACCGCGGGGAGGCCTGCCAAGTTCGCGGCGGGCCTGACGCGGAAACGTGGATAATGAGGCCCAGGGCGGGACCAGGCGCACTGCCCCGGCGGCCCCGGACGCACGGCGATCGCGCAGAGTGTGGCCGGAGGCCTAGAGAGAGAAGACGGGACGCCCGCGTCCCCGTGAGACCCTCTTAGCGGTGGGCAACGAGGATCCCAGAGGGATGGATGCCGCGGGGTCGTGCACCCTGTTCCAGCCGGGTCGGGATCCGGTCGATTAATGTTTGTTGAGTGGGACCTAGTCTGCCAAGCACAATGATTTGTAAACTACATTAAAATACTCAACCCTTCTCAATAACCCTCGGACATTCTCAGGGTGCACTTTCTGGGCTGGGGAAACTGAGGCTGGGTGGTGGGTACGGATGCCTCGCACTTAGGAGCCACTCAGTAAGTACCGCTTGCCCCAAACTCAGGTCTCTCGTGGACTTTCATTCATTCATCCACCCAGTTTAGCTGTGAATTGGGCGCTTGAGATCCTGTGCTGGGGGGGGCGGGAGGGGGGGGACGTGGCGCAGGAAGGGGGCCGGGTGCTGCCACCACTGTCCGTAGATATGCGCTGGCTTCCAGATGCCCCGTGGGCAGTTACTAACCGTGACAGCGCCCCCAGGCTTCCTTACCTGTGACGTCCTGAGGTGCCTTGTGAGGCTTTAAGAAGCTGATACAGGTGATGTGGGACTATGAAGTGCTCAGTCAGTATCGGTCACCATTACAGTGAGGCAGACAGACATTGAACGGGTAATGCCAAGTGAGCCAGAGTCCTGAACAGGGGGCCCTGGGGGCAAAAGGCGGGGTGCTGAGCCAGAGGAAGGGAGGGTGGTATCGGCAAGGTGGAGGAGAAAGATGGGAAGAGTGGGCCCAGCAAAAGCCAGGTATTTGGGAAGGTGACCATTTTAGGGAAAGGGGACCAGCGTGCCTAAAACCCAAAAGAAGCACGGCTCCTAGGAGAATGGAGAGGGGACTGGAGTGGATGGGACGGAGCGCACAGGGCAGGCCTAGGGGATGCCCAGTGGTCACCAGCCAGCGCTCAGCGACCCAGACAATGAGTGAGCACTTTCTTCTTCACCTTAAGCCAGCAAAGAATTGTGAGCACCCTGTGGCATAATCAGGTGTGTGTTGGTGAAAGGTTACTCTGGCTGCTGAGTGCAGTTGGACTAGAGGGGTCCCAGGGTGTTCACGGATCATATTCCCCAAAGAATCGGAAGCAGGGACCCAAACAAGTACTGTACACCAACATCCATCTCAGCACCTGTTCACAGTAGCCAAAAGGTGGGAGCAACCCAAGTGTCCACAGACCAACGAGTGGATGAACAAGATGTGGAATAGTATTCAGCCATAAAAAGGAATGGACTTCCAATACTACAGCATGGATGAACCGTGAAAACATTATGTTAGGTACAATAAGCCAGACACAAAATGATAAAGATTGTACGATTCCACTTACCTGAAAGATCTAGAATCAGTGAATTCCAAGAGAGAAAGTAAATGAGAGGTTCCCAAGAACTGGGAGAATGGGGGAACAGAGTTTCTGTTTGGGGTGATGAAAAAGTTACAGAAATAGATAGTGGTGAGTGATGGTTGCACAACATTGTGAGTGTAAGGAACGCCACTGAATTCTACGCCTAACACAGCAGATTTTATGTTGTATGTATTTCTGACAACTTCAAAACATTAATCATCTAATATGCCGAAAACCACTGAACTGTACACTTGAAATGGGTGAGTTGTATGGTTCGTGAACTATATCTCCATAAAGCTGTTTTTTTAAAAAATCAAACCGTAACAACAACAAAGGGGGTACAGGGAGGTGCTCAGAGTCCGAGTGTAGCCAGGAGGCCATAGCTGTGTGTTGGGCTGGGAGAGGTGTTTGGGAGGGGTGGACGTCCCAGGGTGGCCAGACTGATGTGGGACCTCGAGGAGGCCTGGCTTCCCTCTGCTCCTCAGCTGTGCACTGTTAAATCAGATTTTAGTCCTAATCTGATCTCTTTAAGAATTTTTTTTTAAATCCTCACCGGAGGACATTTTTGCATTTATCTTCGGATAGAGCAGAAGGGAGAGAGGGAAGAAGAGAGAAAGAGAAACATCAATGTGAGAGAGACACATCAAGTGATTGCCACCCACACGACCCCAACCTGGGCCGGGGACACACTGCAACCGAGGTACGTGTCCTTAGCGGGAACCGAACCCGGGACTCTCTGGTCCGCGGGCCGACACTCTAACTGCTGAGCCAAACCGGCCAGGGCCTCTTTAAGAATGTTTAAATCAGGCATGGAAGTGAAAATAGTTCTACTGCTCTTCCTCTGTGCAGCCCTTAGTTCCAAGGGCCCTTGTGCCCCCAGCCAACTGGAAACCAATGACCACCCTTTCCATTTCTCTGTCTCTAATTATACAATCAAATACCTGAACTCGGGGGCACCATAAAAACTTGTAAGACAGGAAAACGGGGGAGGGGAGCCACACCTCAGAGACGGGAAGCCATTGTAAAATCCATCCGAGGCAGGAAGAGGTGTGACCTTTTCCACTAAGGAGCTTTCCCTTTCTGGATGGGCTTTAGAAAACCAGGAGCAGTCATCCTAGCCTCATGGGTATTCAGTACCCGTCCAGGAGCTGGAATCGTGGTCGGATCAAGAGTGAGCCAAGTGATTGAGTCTCCCCACATGGAATTGTCCACGAAACCCTTTGAGACAGGTGCTAATGAGGACCAGCTCCATGAGTCACTGCAAGGTGAATGTATGGAGTCCCCTGTGCAATGTCTTAAGAACTTCAATTCCTGGCTGGTTTTGCTCAGTGGTTAGAGTGTCGGCCTGCGGACTAGAGAGGCCCGGGTTCAGTTCCCGCTAAGGGCACGTACCTCGGTTGCAGTGTGTCCCCGGCCCCAGTTGGGGTCGTGTGGGTGGCAGCCACTCGATGTGTCTCTCTCACATCGATGTTTCTCTCTCTCTCTTCTTCCCTCTCTCCCTCCCTAACTGAAGATAAATGCAAAAATATCCTCAGGTGAGGATAAAAAAAAAAAAAAAGAACTCCAAGATAGTGACAGCAGGGGATCTGGGCACAGGGCACGGGAAGCTGGTGCCACAGCCATTTCTGAGTCTCAGATAAGGAGATTGAAGGCAGGCTCACACAGATCATCTGTGGCAGGACCTGAAGTCCCCTTCAACTGCATAAACACCAACATTAGGGAGGGGCCCCAGATGGAGTGACATGAAAGTGTTCCCTTCTGTGTGATGGTACCTTCTGGTAGTCTGGCCCCTTCCTGCACAGGGGTCTGAGATGTGCATTTGTTCTGGGTGGGAGAGGCCACTTGGCAGGAAATCTAAACCACAGTTGTTCGTCCTTATTTGGAATTTCGCTTTCTGCAATTTCAGTTACCTGTGCTCAACTGCAGTCTGAAAATATTAAATGGAAAATTCCAGAAATAAACAATTCATAAGTTTTAAATTGTGTGCTATTCTGAGTAGCATCGCGATGAAATCTTATGCCATCTGCTCCGTCCCTCGGAGCTGGGGTGTGAACGGTCACTTTTCAACATGTCCATGCTGCGTGTACAATAAGAGAGAGATCTTATTCACACAACCTTTATTACATTACGTTGTCCCAATTGTTCTAGTTTATTATTAGTTTGTGGTGTTGGTCTCTTACTGTGCCTAATTTAGAAAATTAAGCTTTGCAGTTTATATAAAGTATATAGAAGGTTGTATACTATCTGCGGTCTCAGCATCCACCGGGGTCCAGGAACTAACGCTTCACAGATAAGGAGGGACGACTGTACATTTACCATTTTCATGCCTTCATTCCTGCCTTCCTTTAGAGACAAACCTGTCCCCT